CGTACCTCCCACTCGTCGTATATTCTTTAGCGAATGCCGTCCATCGTATATACCACACAAAACTGACCGATGTTAATAGGGGTAGTGGCTATATGATTTTGTTGTATATTGAACCTTCAAATTCCGTGAACCAACTATTGACGTAAAGCTGCAGTGTTGCTTATTGTGCGCTAATAATTTCACGAGCAACCAGCGACATTATTCTGATCATTTATTCCACAAAAGCCTTGCCATCGATTCATATGAGGTAGAACTTCGATACCGATAGATATTACGTATCGATAAAACTAGTGCGAATGAAAGGTTCATAATTATATGTGTTAATATTATGAATCCATATCGTGTATTCTCTAATAATGCCTGAGATTGGCGGTATCAGACAAGTGAAGAGCTCTTGCACAACATAGAAATGTTTCATATTCGCTGAGCGTGTTACTGAATAGAGTATGTATTGTCATTTCCAATAGAGTTTACTAATCATGGTCAGTCATATATTCGTAGACTTTACATGTGTTGTTGAATAAATATTTTGTTTTCACGGCATGAATAGCCACCTAGATGAGTGGATTATCTCATTGAAGCCTATGATGGAACGTATACCAAAGGAATCGTCCGGAGGAAAAGTACTGGAAATGTTCGAAAAAGTTGCCAAAGGTAGTTTTCCTACAAATGATGCATCATATAATTATTATGGTTCCTCAAGAGCTCACCAGGCTCTATGACTGTACGGTGTGCTACACTTATGGCATGCGCAGTAAATACCCGGACGGTTGCTTGTGGCTAAATCCACTATAGCTAAATTATTATCGTTTCAGAGGTGTAGTTTTTAAGTATCAAAATACCACATATATGCCGCAAATAAAAGGCTATGAGTTTGTCAACATAATTCCATAACATCTTATACAAGTTGTTATAGGAGTTACCTATATATGTTTTCAGTATTATTAAAAACACATCATATACTAGCGTATTGATATATTTTGGTGTTATAAAATTTAATTTTATGCTTATATCCGAGTTATTCAATACGTTGACGTAAAACGTACTATTCAATTGAAATGTATAAAGTAGCTGTAGAAATCGATACACTCTACACATGTACTATCTTTGTTATATATCCTTGCATATTTATGTATGCCCTTCACAGAGGCGGACAAATACATCGCAAAAGTCCGTGGCTACAAGGACGTCAAGAAGAGGTTTAAAAGTAAACGCATCAGGTGAGAACAGGTGAAAATGAATATCTAAAAGATCTATCTAAGTCATCTTGTCTAAAGTTCATTCATCATCATCATCATCATCATCATCATCATCATCATCATCATCATCATAATTATCATCATCATCATCAATGCATCATCTCCACCCCCACCACCGCCGCCGCCACCGCCACCGCCACCGCCACCGCCACCGCCACCGTCACCGCCACCGCCACCGCACCGCTACCACATCATCCATCGATCATCATCATCATCTATATCATTATCAACATTACCGCCACCGCGCACTACTACCTCCGACGACCACAGCACCCATCTACCATCACCGCGGTTTCCATCACCGATACCACTGCCATCATTTGTTTTCATTAGAATGAAGTTGGAAGATTTTCGCGTGAGGATTACAGACGTCGTTGAATGCTGCGAAGGCTCGCAGTCGCTCTGCTGTTACTTCAGACCAACGATCATATAGGAGGCATATAACAGTAAGCGTCCGCGATTGTTCACCGTTGCACTACTTCGTCTCTAGAAAAGGCCTTTTTCGGCATTTTTTTCCGCCGAAATTCGGCACTAGAGTGCGAACTAATTAGCATTATGCACGCAAGGTGGCATGCCTCGGTGGACCGTCGGAGAAAGCATTAGAAGTAAAATTAATTCTTGTTGTGTATTCGTGACATTCCGTAGGTGCGTAACCACAGGTCACCGGTGCGTGTTTTTTGTGTATGAAATGTGTTCAGACAACTTTGCGCAGAAATTCCCGCATCATAGAGAGCTTGCAGAAAGTTCGAGCGGAGCATAGAGTATGAATTCTGTAGTTATTTAACTGCATAAATAAAAGTGTATGTTTTGATAAGTGTAGTAACATGTGTGCAGTATTCTTAATTAATTTCTGTTCGCATTGCTTATTCAGGCCATGCAGCCTATGGAGGCCCTCTACAGAGTTGGGTCGTGTTCAGGAAGGCGAGCGCTCGATGCGTAACGCTCATGAACGAACGCAGCGCCTCCTGAACGACACACGGAACGGCTCGCTGTGCGCCCGCTGTGCGCTCGGCTCATTCAAAGATGGCGGCGCCCCATGGCAGGGTTACTAGCAGATTTTAATCGCGAGAGAACAAGTACTGTTAAACGAATTAGCAGACCAAAAATGCATGATAAAAATTGAATTTAGAAGTGAAATGATGAATGGAATGAAAGTGAAGATAAAGTTGAAATAGATTTGCAAATTGACGTCAGAAATGTTAGAGTCGCATATCGCCAGATTTTTCGCCGCCATCTATGTAAACTCTCTCGCAACTGAGCCGAACAGCGCTTTTCAAAACTGCGCGGCAAACGCTCGCTCGCGTTCGGTCGCGCGCAGTGTCGTTCAGAAGGCGCGCGCGACGCGAACGCGAATGCGAGCGTTCGTCGGTCTCCTGGAACACGCCTCTGTTGTTCTACACCTATAGCCGCCGTAGGCGCAAGATAGACCTACTCTCGCAATCACAGCCTAGTAGGTCATGGATCATTACAAGCGCCATTTTAGTAAGCAGGTTCCACAACGAAGTTCACCGGATGCTGGCGTATCTCTGCTGCTGTGCAACTGTCTGCCTATGTACCAATTCGTCATACGCTTATTTTCTACTGCTGGTGGGAAAAGTGGCCGTAGGAATTGTAAAATATAAATAACAAATAAATGAATTGATAGAGCCTATATTTGCAGCTTTTATGGTATGCTTACACGTTAATACATTAGCGAATGTAATGGGCTCTTGGTCAAGACTTATAGGGACAGTAGCCTCTAGGATTTTACTGGGCATACAACTGTACTTACTGTATAAACAAATCGAGTCTAGTATCCACCACGTATTTTGTTAGGCAGATACATAATTAAATTTGCTTATAATAACATTACACATCAACGCTAGCAAATTTGAACGGCCGCCATGACACCGCGACGCGTGCTGCGCACTCCGGAAAAAAGTTTTGCGTATTATGACAACTTTAAATTTGCACGTTACAGCAACCGAGGCTAATCACAAAACAGTGCAATTTATTTATACCTAAAATGCTATTTAACCGATACGTATTTCATTTTATGGCAAATTATCATATTACAACTAAAACTATATGTCGTTTATAAGATATTACAATCCTTTTGCTTTTAAATGAATAAATAAGAAACACCCTCGGTCTGTAGCCCTTGGCTGAAAAGTGGTTTTGCGCAACTTATCAGATCGTGCGCTTTGAGTGGCGCCACCGTCGTTGTAATCAAACTGTAGTGGTTAGTTTTAAAACATTTTTAAACAATATTTCTAATGGTGATTGAACCATGAAACTTTTTATGTAGCATAATTATAACCTAAATTAGCTGAAAATAACCCTATAACCTAGAGTAAACTCTCCCTTTAATGTTGTTATATACATGGCAAAAGAATGATATATAATAAGCTATATATAATAATAAGCTATTGTTCTAGTGAAGCATTGACAATATATTGATTCATTGCACTAATATAATATTTCATGTCAACTCTTTATTATGAATAGATTCAGCATCATCAGAATATCAAATGCATCTGTGAAAAATTAGAGTTTGTTTCATAATATTAAAAAGAGGAAAAATTTACAAGGTGACATGGCATGTATTGTAATATAAAAAGGTTCTTATTTCTTATTTCTGACGGGAAGTGGAATTAAAAAAAAATAAAAAATAAGATAACAAGAATAATAAAATGAATTGATAGAGCCTATATCCTATTTGAACTTTTATGGTATCATCACACGTACTCATATGAACGTACTGTTCCCCCACAACACTGATTACACCGCGAGAGGTATATAAAACCATAGAAATAACATAGATAACTATATTTATATATGTATATCTATATTATATCAAGAGCTAATAATACCAGAATTATACCAGAAATAATACCATAATACCAGAAATAATCTATATTATTTCTATGTATATCCTATGGTATATCCATAGATATATACAACACATGGATAGCTGATTGCCGCACACTCACGTTAAAATGCATTGGGCGATGTCTATTTTTTCCGTACCCCTAATTAACTTGTATGATACAGGCGGTTCCGGTTCCGCTTCACTACACTAACCGCCTGTACCCATGCACAGAAATAGAATAGAAGTAGAACGGTCATACCCAGGCGCGCAGCGTCGCCAGTTTCTGACAACTGTCACGTGACCGGCGCCATATTGGTGCAGTCACCCTGCATCACTAGTAAAGCTTGACCCCCTTAAACAAATTTTAATACCAAATGCAAAGAAAATATGATAAGAAAGTAGTAGTTGAATGCCAAAGTAACCGGCGTTAGTGACAGTTAGTTTTAATTACAGAAAAACATGCATGGATGCGTTTTCCTATAGATTTTAATCTTACAGAGGTAAAATTAAAATTGACAACTGCTCCTGAATGGATTGTTGCACATGCTAGTACTGAAATAAAATTTGCACTTAACTATCCACATTGGCAAGAAAATAAGACAAAATTTTATGTAGCTAGGTTTGCACTTCAGCTTCCCCAGGCCCAACTAGGAACCAATTTAATTATGCTTCTAAGATGAATACAATACATTGTACGGCAAAGTAAAAGTAATTTCTGTATAATTCCATTCATTCACAATATTTTAACGGCTTGTAACTGTGCGCAACTTAGGTTCCTTATTCTATTATTTGGTATTTTAAAACATAGGCACAATCAGATCTTTTTTATTGCGAGCAAATATATATACTGTATGTAGCAACAATTAAAAATCAAACAATTCAAAGTTTTCTAAGCTGCACTACTTCTAACTAATTGAATTGCTAGTCAAAGATAATACATGTATATCATTTGCATAGCAAAATGGATAATTAAAATTAAATACATACACACAAACAACGGAATACAAAAAAACTAGTTCGTGACACACCTTATACAGGTACAGCGCCGATTTTCCGGACACTAATGCTCCGGAACCTCTTTTAATCCGGATAAAATGCTTTTGAAATTATTTGGCGTAGCAGTGTACGTCGCCGTGTCACCACATTGCTGTGTCGCCATGTGGGTGCGTCGCCACGTCGCTGTGTCGCCACATCGCCGTGTTGCCATGTGGGCGCGTTGCCACGTCGCCGTGTTGCCATGTAGATGTGTCGCCACATCGCCGTGTTGCCATGTGGGCGCGTTGCCACGTCGCCGTGTTGCCATGTAGATGTGTCGCCACATCGCCGTGTTGCCATGTGGGCGCGTTGCCACGTCGCCGTGTTGCCATGTAGATGTGTCGCCACATCGCCGTGTTGCCATGTGGGCGCGTTGCCACGTCGCCGTGTTGCCATGTAGATGTGTCGCCACATCGCCGTGTTGCCATGTGGGCGCGCGTTGCCACGCGCCGTGTCGCCAATGTAGATGTGTCGCCACATCGCCGTGTTGCCATGTGGGCGCGTTGCCACGTTTTTTCACCGTGTCGCATGATAGATTGATGTCGCCACATGCGCGCCGTGTGCCCATGTGGGCGTGTTTGCCACGTCGGCGCGTGTCGGGCCATGTAGATGTGTCGCCACATCGCCAGTGTTGCCATTTGGCGCATCGCCACGTCACCGTGTCGCCATGTGGGTGCGTCGCCACATCGCCGTGTTGCCATGTGGGCGTATCGCCACATTGCCTTGTCGCCATGTGGGCGCATCGCCACATCGCCATGTCACCATGTGGGCGCGTCGCCACGTTGCCATGTCGCCATGTAAGTGTGTCGCCACATTGCCGTGTCGCCATGTTGGCGCGTCGCCTGTCGCCATGTGGGTGTGTCGCCACATCGCCGTGTCACCATGTGGGTGCATCGCCATGTGGGTGTGTCGCCACATCGCCGTTGCCATGTGGGCGCGTCGCCATGTGGGTGTGTCGCCACATTGCCATGTGGGCACGTTGCCATGTTGCCATGTGGGCGCATCGCCATTGCTGAGCGGCGTTTGGCCGTGTTGCATGTGGGCGCATCGGCGCATGCGAGTGCGTTAGCCGTGTTGCCATGTGGCGGCATGCGCCACGATGGCGCGTGCGTTGCGTGTTGCCATGTTGGCCATCGCCATGCGAGGCGCGTTTGTCGGTGTTGCCATGTGGGCGCATCGCCATGGCGAGCGGGCCGGTTGCCGTGGTTGCCATGTGGGCGCATCGCCACTGACGAGCGCGTTGCCGATGTGAGCACGTCGCACCGTGTCACCATTGTGAGTGCGTCGCCGTGTCAAGGCAATGTGGCGCGTACCGCCACGTCGCACGCTTCGCCACGTCGCCGTGGTCCACGCATGTGGGCGCATCGCACGTCGGCCACGTGGGGGGGGGGAGGGGGGGCGCCCCGTCGCCGTGTCACGGCATGTGGGCGCATTGCATGATGGGCGGGCATCGCAATGTTGGGCGCTTCGCCAATGTGAGCGCGTCGGCCGTGTCATCATGTGAGCGTCATGCGCCCGTGTCACGCATGTGCGTGCGTCACCATGTGGGCGGTCGGCTGTGTCCGCGCATGTGAGCCGCGTCGCCGTGTCGCCATGTGGGCCGCGTCGCGTGTCAGCGGCGGGCCGGCCCGCCGCGCCCGGCGGGCGGGCCAATGTCGGCGCGCTCGCCACGTAGGCCGTGTCACCATGTGGGGCGTCACCCGGTCCACCGCATGTGGGCGGCGTGCGGCCACGTAGCCGTGTCACCAGATGTGAGCGCGTTGCGGTGTTGCCATGTGGGCGCATCGCCATGTGGGCGCTTCGGCGCCATGTGAGCCGCGTCGGCAGTGTCACCATGTGGCGCATGCGCTGTGTCGCAGCATGTGACGCATCGCAGTGTCACCAAAATGTGCGCATACAGCTGTTGTCGCCATGTTGCGGCGTCGCCGTGTCGCCATGTGGGGGCGCCTCGGCCATGTGAGCGCATCGGCCGTGTCGAACCATGTAGGCGCGTCGCCGTGTCACGCATGTGC